GTATTTCATTTCTAGACGTCCTTATGACCAGAAAAGAGGATGGAGAAATAAGAAGAATTATATATAAAAAATCTACATCAACGGGTCAGTATACTCATTTTTTCAGCTTCGTGCCCGTGAAATACAAACGCAATCTGATAAAGTGCTTGGTTCACAGAGCAAGAGCAATCTGTTCGGATGAATGTCTTGATGAGGAACTTAATAATATTAAACGGTTGCTGAGTGAAAATGGTTATACAGAAAAGATTTTGGTAAGAATGTGAATCTAAAATCAAAGCAGTCCAAGGTAACAACAGTTCCTAAAAAGGCTTTATTCTTACAAATGCAGTTCGTTAGGGACAACATCAGCGAGATACTAATACATCGTCTTAGAAATGCGGTAAAAAAAACATTCCCTGATGCCGAATTACGCTATGTCTTCAAAACCACTTCTCTTTTGCATTCGGGAGTAAAAAATAAACTGTCTAATTTGGCCTCTTCCATGTGTATCTACCAATTTAACTGCTCCTGAGGAGCCAGGTAGTTTCTTAGGCAGTACAATTAGGCGTGTTTCTCATCGAATTTCCGAACATCAACCTGGTTGGTTAAGTAAAGGACAAACAAAATCTATTCGCAGCGCTAAACTATCTCATCTTGTGGAAAGGAAACACAAGATTGCTGTTAACCATGCTTTCAGGGTTATTTATCGCTTGCCAACAAATCTCGATTTCGCCTTAATGGTCTACGAGCTCGCGTTGTAACCAGAAGGTTCTGGGTTCGAACCCCGGTGGGGACATACTGTGAAGAGTCCCGAAATAGGACGAAATAGCTGTTCAGTACTCTCAGGTTTTCTAATAGTTCTATAACCAATGTCAGCTTATGGTGAAATCCTGTAACCAATTCACCTTAAGAGTCCGACTACTGAATATTGCTGAGGCTGTTGCGATCTATACTAAGAAGCCTACTTTGTGCGTCCAAAAGAAATTAGTTCAGATATTATTCTTACCTTGGCCATGTAGGTTTGAATGATCCTGAACTTTTGTGGAATTTCCCTAATCTTAGTTGATATTCTATTTGCTACTTATATCTTTATTATTATTATTTAAGCATCTTTAATGAGCTGTAATTGAATTGATCTTGCTTTACAAATCGATATTATTTAAAAAAACACTAATATTGTTACTGACTACTAATCTAGAAAATTCAATGTATATGAACATATATACAATTTTGGAGCCAGAAGAGAAATTTATCGGAAAGGATATTCTTTGCTCAATTATTTTGTGTTTTATGGATATCTGAATGAATATTTTCTCTATATTAAAAAAAAAGGCTACAAACATTTCCATCATATATATAATTGAATGATTTCATATAAGATTTCACTCATCCATTTGTTCATTTGTTCACCTCATTGTATCTCATGTTCATCCGACACACATTGCTAGCCATATTTTAAGAAACGAAACACAATTCAAACCTGAGCTAAACACAGTTTGATTTTGTTACAATGGCAGCAGCTGCGACTAGCAAGGAATTTCAAAACAGTTTACTAATTTGACTAAAGGTATTAGAAGTTAATTTTAAATAAACTTCGCTTGGCGAAGCACGTTTTATTTGTTTAAAATATGAACACTATATTCGGTGGATATAAATAAACCAATACTTATGTAGAAAAAGGACTGCTATGAATTAACATCAGCTGGATAACTATTTGATACCAGAAGGGACTAGTTGACCCCTAGGCAGTGTGCAAGGGATGGAACTAAGGACTGTCAAGTCACGACACGAAGATGTCACCATTCAAATTATTGACCGGTTAAATGTTAACGTTCAGATTATAGAGAAAGAGGTTACGCCACAAGAGTTTTTGTATTTTTTGAGTTGGATGATTTGACTATATATTCAGTACTAGAAAAACGATAGAAGCCTTGAAATAATGTGATCCATCTCAATGAACGCAACAGTACCATAATCATGTATATGAACTACAAGTCTCCTGCATCACACAAAAAACCATCTTGATGGTAATCTCTATGAAAACAATATATTATGCACAACATGGATACAAAATTAAACCCTCACATAAATTTGCTGATAAAAAATATTTGGAAAATGACTCTAATTCATTTTCTATTGCATAAACTGTTATTAATATCCACTTTTTCTAGTTGATGTTTTAAAGTTGCTGAAAATAAAGAAATTTCTAATATACACAAAAACAGTGTAAAAAAGCAAAAATAAAAATTGAAACAACTGTTACAATGTTTACAAATTTTTGCTTCGTTTAGTCTATTATTATATCACTATTATTATTATCATCATCATCAGCACCGAAGTTGTATTTCACAAAACATTATTTGAAAATTCTTTTTTCAGATCGTCTCTCTCTCCAACTCACCAGGGTGGTTATTTCATCTTAGACTCACATTGCTTTAACTAACTACAATAGTTATTCATTTTAACCTGAGATAAAAAAAATGTCAGTAATTGCAGTTAACTGATTGTCTGTCTGATTGATGATATTCACATAAGATCATGTCAGATTTCTATGAAATAGGATTAATAAGCTTGTGGTCTCCGTGTGCGTGTTTTTATGCGTATATGCGTGTGTATAAGTAATATGTATAAGTGTATGTGCAATTTGTGAAATGTAATTTATGATCCAGAAACCCATACATTTGTAGGTGTATTCGTATGTACGTGTGTTTGTATATGCATATGAAGATCAATGAATTTTATGTGCATCAATATATGCACATCATAAAAAAGACTCCTAATCATAATAACGGGAAGAAATTCTCGGTTGGGAGTAAATTACATACATATTAGTTATAGAAAAGTAGATAAAGATACAGGATCCACTAAACAATGCTTTAAGACAGTAATTATCCTTAGTGTGTGTGTAGAAAATGAGGTTCCTAGTGAACATGCACTGAAAATAGAAATCAAGAAATTATTTGATCAGAATATGTGCACAGCGATGTAATGATATGTGACATAATTTCAGTATGATTATAGAATCCCTGGGTGAAGTAGTTGAATCAGACTATCCAATAATTTGATGGTGTGCGTGGATGGTAGAATACTAGTCAACCTTATAAATGGTATGGGTTTAAATCTTGATCAACGCACACCTTAGTTGCCAATAAGCCCGCTAAGAAGAGAAGGTTGGGCATGAGCTGAGCAGCCTTACCCGCAAAAGAAAAAACCATGTCTACTAAAACTTCAAAGTTCAGAGCTTGAAACCTTCTGTTCCATTTGATAAGCAAAGGAATGAAATATTGTATATATTTATATATGATATGTGCGTTGGTGGCACAGTGGTTAGGACTCTCGCCGACCATGCACATGGTCCGGGGTTCGAGCCCACGCCGACGCACACCTGATATCTATGGTCGGCCTGTAAAATTTGGGCTACCGATATCCATGCTGAAAATTCCATACATGTACCAAAAATACAGTGTGGAATCAAGCTGTAAATCAAAAATAAAAATAAATAAAGAATCAAAACCACTATTTTAACATTGTATTTCAGATTCATTGAATGTACATTATAGGCTTTTGTACAATGAAGAGAATGAGAGTTTTTTTATTACAACTTGATTCCACACTGTATTTTCGGTACAAGTATGGAATTTTCAGCATGGATATCGGTAGCCCAAATTTCGCAGGCCGACCATAGATATCAGGTGTGCGTAGGCAGGGGATCGAACCTCAGACCATGTGCATGGTCGGCGAGAGTCCTAGCCACTGTTGGGAATGACAAAATTCCTTCATACAGTTTGATGGCTACAGCAGCAGTGCAAATGAAGAAATTGCAGGATAATCAAAAGGAAGTACAAACTTATTTGAGTGTTTCGCAGAATGGAGTTTAGACTCACTAATTGAGGTCTGCGTGATGTTTAAATAGCTTATCTGGGACTCCAATTAGGAGAGGTACAAATAACTGAACAAAATCCATTCAGTCCCACTAAGCGTTATTGATATAAGTATAAAACTTGGGCCCTAAGTGTTACTCTGAGGTATGTAGAAACTGTAGGTTGCCTGGGTGAGGTACATGTGAAAACGAAAAGCTTTGGCTGAACACTTTAAGGAAGACGGTCTTAGGTTATCACTGTAGCGTACATGTATTCATACCCTATTTTCATCATCAAAAATTAAATTTCTTTTCATACCATTCTTTTTTTCACTATGCACACAAGACGAAGTAATTAAGCAGTACTAAGAAGTTCCAGACTTAGAAGAGACAGGAATTCATTGCATTCTATTCGTTAATAGTTTGTTCATAATGACAACTAATATCCCATTGTCATCACTGTCTTGGAATCAGAAATTCGAAACAAACTCATAGAAAAACTTTTTTAAATGGATACATTTGTACGTTTCCTCAATTAACATTCCTAATCATACACATTTTATAAATGCTTGTTATTTTAAAATATTTTAGGAAGCTTTTCAGGAAAAAAAATTCATGGTAATTAAATTGACAAATATTGTTTGCCTAGATTATGGGTTTCTGTAGGGATTTCAGATGAATTTCAATGTAGATTTCGTCACAAACCGAATTCAGTCAGTTAAAGAGATCACTGAAAATCAGGGGTCACCGGAAAGCTGTTCCGCCGTAGACTGGGAGTGTTCAACAGTCCTCACCTGTGACTCCAACAGAGATCAAACCCAGGACATTCAGGTGACGAAACCGAGCTCGTTGACCATTTAGCCAACTGTGCCGGAATTCAGTAACTCGTAAATTTTACCTATATTTATTCATGATATAGCGCTACCCTCAAACAATGCCCTCAATGAATGTTCAAGTTCACCTTGACACGATTGCCGGACTGGATGGATGTCCTGAAGCTGTACCAAGAAGTCGTAGCCGGTGCGTTTGTGATGAAATCTACACCGAAACAGTTTAATTTTCAAAAATTTATCATCAAGAAAATAATAATAAAGTAAAGATATAGATAGACCAACGGAAATTCTTGAAAAACTATATATATATATATATATATATTACTCACCTGAGCTTGTACATTCACATCAGCTCCGGCTTCTAATAGCAACTTGACTATTTCAAACTGACCAGCTAGACTTGCAATATGCAAAGCCGTATTGCCTTTCTTAGTAGCAGTGTTTGGTTTTGCTCCTCGGTCGATTAGCTCACGCACCACTGCCGCATGTCCTTCTTTTGAGGCTAAATGCAGTGCATTTAAACCATTCTACAAATATAAACACAGGGTTTTAAAAACAAAGTTATTTTCAAAAAGGAAAGTAGAGCTCTAAGAAATAAAAAGGGTAGCTGATGAAATAGAAACAATTCATTGTAGAACATGGTAACTATTTGTTTCTTCTACCTCGACTTCTATTTTTTCAATACAGAGTTTTAAGTTTACATATTACTCTTATTGTGATCAACTCAAGGTGACAAACTCACCAGGTGATTACGATCTAAGCTATGGTTGACGCCTGATTCTATTTTCAAGACAGATAGAGGGACAACTTTGAAGATAAGCAGGAAGTAACCATCATCTTAGTTTTCAGAAAACAAAAATCCCTTTAAAGCAATTAGTATCCTTGATAAATTTAGAAAAAGAGCAATGACAATGTTTAATTTATCTGAAGTATGTAGTGCATTTGTGCAACACATTCCGGAGATTTAATGCGAGTTAAGTGGTAAGGCCAATGTACACCTAATGAGTATGACATGTACCTTAGAAAAGTAGGCATTCATTTATTTTCGCTCTCTAATATCTACAGCTTTCCTTCTTATAATAATTGATGGATTTAGTTGAAACACCCACTTACTTTAGAACACATTTATTTAATGGTACAAGACAAATACAACCCTCTCACTGGAAAAGTGGTATTTAATGGTGCAAATAAGAAATCGACAATTTAATTGAGGTTTCTCTCCTTACAATATTAGTACATACAAAAGCTGTGCTAGATAAATCTCAAAGAGTTAAATTATCTTTCCTTTACGAAATCCTGATCTTTGTTTTTTTCATTTTCGGAAGAAAGAGGAGGCAGATTAAAGGACTACACGCCCAAACTACACGTGCACAAATGTCAATTTTATAAAATAAATACATCGTATGACACAAAGTGATAACAGATGTATTAATCAATAAACCAGAACAAGAACAAGCATGTGTAGAGAAAATCAGCTTTAAAGAGATTCGTAAAAAACAAAGCGCTGCTAACTTATCATATTATTCTTCTGTGCTTTTCTATTTTTCCAATAATCCTGATTAAACTGCTCAATAGAAATCTGTCAGCAGAAACAGCGAGTATACGGACATTTCCAATTAACTATTTAACAAACTATTTGTGATTAAACCAATGAAGTTTGTGGAAATCCAATGTAGACATTTCATCAGTTTGTTCGGTTGCTGAATACTCATTGTTATTATTATTATTATTGATTCATCAAACGGTCGAAAAATCAGTGTTTGGAAACACTTGCTAACACAAGTCAAAAGCGGTAAAATTGAGTAGTTCATGTATTCACCATTCATTATCGCAGTGTGGACAAACATCGTGTCTATTGCAGTATATTCATCCTTTCCCTCTCGTTAACGTTTCAATCTATTCGGCAGTTTTATAGGATGTTTTAAACTGTTCTATCTCTCTATCATGATTGTATGTGATACTATCATACAATTTTCTAACTGAGGAATGGTGGTCATTTAAACAATCGAAGTCAATCAACCAATGTATCTAATGAAGTCATAGTACACTATTCTTAACGTCTCAACTTATGTCTTTAAATGGAAGGGAATTTTGAGGCTGATTGAGAATAGCTCTTCTCTATACCCATTAGAAATCAATAACAAATCTGCATCTTCCCACATCTTCGGGGTTCACAGGTGCAAACAACAAAACATTGTAAGAGTAGAGTTTAGTCACTACAATAAAGTATTGGATAGGTTTATCTGAAATAATCTAGTATTGGATAAACTCATGTTATCTGAAAGAAACCATTAAACTTCTAAATTACTCCAAATAGTCATCATATAAAGCGTTCGAAGCATTCATTTCAAGTGCCTATACGCTGCATACTCTAATAATGGAAGATGAGATGCTAATGAGACAGACAAAGTCGAGAGTAGTCGGATCTAGACATGGTACTAATGCATGAAGTTTCTTGTTGGTGGTCTGTATTAGCTATATGGTTCTACGTGCTATTTTACAAACCAACGAAGATCGTTCAGACAGACAAAAGTATTTCCTAATCTCATTTTAAAAATCTAATAGACAATGAATGTTACATTGTTTATAAAAAATTTCATTTCTATCTATAAACTGCTAATATTAGTTCTTCCCATGGGAATATATTCTTGATTACGTGACTAACTCCTAACGGATATGACAATTCCATTAGTCCCTAGGTTATACTTTAACACATTTATTCGTGTGAGAAATCACACTGCTTAACTTTCTATGCATTTTTATAATGCCAAAATGAATAAAAATGTTAGGATGTAAAATCTCGTTATCACATCAACCAAAATCATAAAAGCTCATGAATCCGATTGCCATAATTACAGGTTAAGAAATAAGAGTTAAAATTCACAAGTTCCATGCTGTAAAAAATGCATGAGTAAATGTTTATCGTTAATAGTTTAGCGATAGACTAGCTCCAAGAACACTGCCTGAAAATAATAGTATATTTCCAAAGCCATGTGAAGTTTCACCAGCTAAACCTACTAAATGAACTGTCCTTCAATATTAACTGGCGATTAAGACATGGTTGTATACTGTGGGTCTAAATGGTGACATAGTATTTAATTTATAAACGACCTGAATAGCGAAGCACAGGGTTTTGGATAGGGATTATACTAATGAAACTAAAAAAACTCCGCATATTTTAGAAATAAAGAGTTGGCTGTAATAGATATAAGCAGTGTAAATCGTTTGGACTTACTGCATTACATGCGTGTACATCTGCATTGTGTTCCGTAATAAGTAACAAAACTTTCTGGATATTGCCAGCACGTGCCGCACGTAAGAAGTGTTGCCCTATGTCCGACTAAAGTAAAAGGAAAGTAAGCAAGTTTTGCGTCAGCGTTTGGACATTCAGTATAACCTCAGAATTCTATCAAAGCAAATATAAAACATAACAGTTCTTTCAAGAATCTTTAAGGAACATTCACCTCAATAATAAAACAGTTGGGATTTTTAAGGTACTTATTGAGTAGTCTGACACAATTTGTTTTAGAGACCACGTAAATGTGATGAAAACACTGCATTTAAGTAAACGGTTAACTCTCTGAAGTCTACCTTAGCAATCAAATGTCAGAGATTTGCATGTGACAAAACCTCTGCTGTCACGAAGAACTTGAGCCCATGAAAATGCAGTTATCTGAAAGTGTAAACAGCAAAACCTTCATTCATAATAAGTCGGACCATGAAATGATGCATAAAAGTCACCTAAAAATCCAGAAAAACTAACTGAGACATGGTGCATTATGCTATGAATTTGAAATACGCTTGTGCGGAAAAAGGTACAACAATGCCAATTAAGTTTCTGAAGATAAAGAGTACAAAAAATACTATCTGTCATTAAGCCTTAAAACTGATTTTACTGTATGCTTACCCATTTTTAGAAGATTGCATCGATAGAATTTGAAAGCATGAATATAGGTCAGAAACATTTACGAAAACAGTATATTTACGACACAACCATGCTAACTACTTTTAGTCAAAATCTCTTACTGTACCACTGACTTACTTCCCTACAATTCAAATGGAATCTCGCCAAGTCAATAGAGATGGATGTCTTTTTGAGAATAAAGCACATAATGATAAAAAAAGATTAGTGAGATAAAATTTTCACTTAGTTTCTACGTACGATATAACAGCCTCTCAAACTTTCAGGTTACGAAGTATGAAGAAAGCTATCTTGGGGGAAATAGTGTTGAGAGTCACAGGTAATGTGTACCTCAAGATGCTACAGACTGCTGACGATTTGGTTTCACAATGTGACCGGGTTAGGCTTAAGTTACGATCAGTGGTTGAGTTAAGGTAAGGTTTAGGATGAAGTTACTTCAAGGGTTTAAGGCAAGACAGAATGACCTGTTTAAACAGCATGTGCACTCATACTTACAATTAACCAATAATTTTTTGACAGTTTGAATTCTTCCGTTTGTATTAGTTATTTGAGATCAGTAAATAACTGCTATTTAGAAACAACCTAAAATACCACATGTTTGACGATTTTTAAATTTCAGCTCAAATGAATTTTCGAAAAGAATGTGGCATTTTGATATTAATTTTATGATAAAATATGAAAAATTAGGACATAATTTTTTGTAAAAGTGGTACCTAAATATATACCTGCTAATAGCAGTTAGAAAAAAATAGCAACCAATTTGGGAACAGGCACATTTGTGGAAATTCTCATTTCAGAAATACTACGTTAAAAGTGAGCTTAAAACTACCTTTTTGGTAATGACTGAGTTTTCATAATCTCCTGAATGTGAAGTATCACCACTTCGAGTCATATTTAACGGAAAATTAAAGGTTGCGGCAAACGGAAACGAAACACCATTGATGTGATATGGAGTGTTAAAACGCAGTAATTTACCGCCGGTGACATAGGAAAGGAAATTGATGAATTAGTTGTTTTAAAATCTACAGCCAGAAGTTAGCTGGCTATGTATAATCAATATTTCCGCTTCAAAAATCAGGGGACTTGACATCTATATTCATCGCGAGATACTAAAAGTGAAGTATCTAACACTGACCGCAAAATCAAAAGTTTTTCCGTTGAATGGGGTCTTCTGGACTACCTTCTTCCCTTAAGCTAATTATCAATATTTTTCTCTCTAAATTGCAATTTCGCATGATCCGACAGTGAAGTACGATAAGCTGAATATTTCGTCTGAGACCAAAGTAAAGGCTTCTAAAGTGACCATTTCAGAATGACTTCATGTTACATGAAAGATCAGAGAGATAGCGCAGATTCTGATAATTTAACACTTTTAAACTTCTGCACAAGACTTATTCGTATCCAGCATTTCTGGATCCATGATATATAGCATTTGGAGAATCATAGATATTTCTTAGGGGGTTTTTTCACATGAAAATAAAGATTTAATCGTGATTTTTTGTCTGAAATCTACCTCTGTATTACGAATTTAGGATAGCACCACCGTAGACTGAGATTTAGACCGAACCGGATGTCAGGTGCTGAATTTATTAGAACTGGATGAGTTTTCGTAAAGTGAGCCTTGATCTCTGTCTTTCCTAGCCTGTACACGGTGATAACGAAACACTAGCTGAAAGAGGAAATTATTTAGAGATAAGCTGGATGAATCAGTGTGTACAGAGAGATTAAATATAATGGGGGCAAAGCCCATTCACTGGCTTTTCCTGTATTAGTTCGATTTAGCCCTAGTTGTATCTGATAACGGGTAAGCTGCTCCAGAAAATGCCTCATAAGAAGCTTGTTGGCGTATCGAAATCCTTCTACCTAAGCAGAATACAGTAGGAAGAACATAAAACAGCTTTCAACAATAGTGGCATTTAAGGTAACATAAGGGTCTTTAAGTGTGATGATAGCGTACATATTTGTCAGCAGGCTGAATTTTTCGTTTACACGCAACTCTCCTTACGTTGATGAAAAGAACACAAACCTCTGTCCATACTTCCCTTTGTACCTTAGCCAACAATGATAGATGACGAAAGAAAGGTTGGTGCAGCAGGAATAGTGCTACTGGGGGGCAGCTGCATCTAGTTTCTCACTTGTTTCCCATCTTCTTCATTGGAAGATATGAAATTCAATGTGGTCAAAAAACGCGAACGCGCGAAACTTCTCGAAAAGTAAGTAGACATGATGAAATGAAGTAGTAGAGGATGAAATGTCTCTCGAGTTTTTCTCAATGTCTTTCACTTTGCATCAATTTCTTTACTGAGAAATTCTGTATTCAGTCGGGATACAGCAAAAACTTTATACAGTACTGTTGTAAAAACAGAAGACAAAGGCCGGGCAACAGATCATCTGTGTGTTAACTGTATCAGTCTACGCAGTCTGCTGTGGTTGGTTGTTGAATCAGTGTTTGTTCATATTTTCTGACGACCAATATTTGGGACATAAACACTGACATAAATTAATGTGTACCAATTCGGCTAGCAGCCTGCCTTCACCACACTGTACATCCAAAAATGACATTTGCGACATCGAACTTGTCAGTTTAGTGTAAAAGTTTTAATATTTCTAAATGAAAAGATCTGCATGCCGTTTAGGTCATGAACTTTCCTGTGTTTGTGTGTGGCAAGCACTCCATTACAGATGCTGGGGATTCAAGGTCTTTCATCGTACCGAAGTCTTTTTTGAGTCAGCTGGAGAAAATTTTACAGGTTGTGTAGTCAGGCAAGGAAATGAGTCAGCATTCTTAAGCACTGCGTTCGTGTGATGGATGTCCGTGGTGTCTAACAGTTCTAAATTTTTGATGGTGGGATTGCTTTCCTTCTCGGTAATAATCCTGACTTGCCTAAGGTGCTAATGAAGGTCTACGGACAGCATTACAAGGCTCAAAATGCGGATGAAGCTCTATTTCTAACTGTTTTCCAGTATGCTCAAGGGTGTATGCACTTCGAAAATATTTGGACAGCTAACCTCCAAAGTAATTAGTTTTTGAGATTTAAGGGGTGTTTATCCATAAATCTGGTGTTTTTGAGTCTACTGCATATTGACGTCAAGGACTGAGTGAATACTTAGAAGTACTGGTGAAAGTCAGTCTTCACAGTGGTAGGGGACCCAAAATGCGTTGCTTATTGTTTCATAACAACTTGACAAACTGTCTCGGTTGTGATATCATGCATAGGGCTTGCCTCAAGCGAGTGGGTGAAACCATCTACTTATATGAGGAGATGTGAGTGGTCAGATGGGAATCAGGAGTATGCATATGAAGATAAGTAAAGTGTGCGTCATTTTCGGCCAAAGATTCAAAGTATATGAATTTATATACGTGGACCTCGGGGTGATGGCAGTCTTAAGTCCACTTTTAATAATGACACTAATATAGATATATATATTTACAGGCATCATGTGTGTATTATTATATATATATATGTGTGGGCACATTCACAGGAGGCCTTCAAATTACAGCGACATATGTGTACATATACAAGACAGTGTTGATGAAAACATACCAAAGGATTTTGCGTGGTCTAGTCCCTAGCGCCAGTCCTATTTAAAGTGCAAGTAAGATCACTCAATATTGAAACGTTTTGCAGCAAATGGTCATTGTGATAGGTTAGTTCTGATACCACGCGATCGCTTGTGTAAGACGTCGGTTATTTGGCTGATGATAATGCCTATTATTATTGACCGCAAGCTGCTTATCGCAGCAGTCCATGTGCAGTTGAAAATTTGAAGAATTATCACTGCTTCGGTGGTAAAACGCAGCAGATATTTGCCAGTTTGTATACAGTTGGGAATCAGGATAATATAAAAAATTCCATGTGAACTGAAAGATAAAACATGCGGAAAGTGAAAGCTTCTGTATGCGTCAGTGACATTTGGTGCAAAAATATTCAGAATTATTTTATTCATTTTGTCTTCTGGATTTATGGGTAATTTAATCGTCGGCATTAAAATAGTTATTCACTCGCATACGAGTAGAACTTGGCCACTGCATATACCCGCTACGATGTCCGCTGCTATGTTGCATTTGCCCAGATGACTAGCCCCACCTCGAATCAACTAAGCCGAGCAAGTGCCGCCAAGGTAAAGCTAGAGGCGCCACTTCAAGTAGGGGATATGCCATACAATCGCCCGTAGTAGAGTATAATCCTCTATGATGTAGTAATATCCCACCCGGTTATTAAGAACGCACCACATGGCAAACCGTGGTCAGCTTGGATGGAGCAGTTTTAGATCTGTTTTGATTGTTACTGTAGGTCACCAAATAACTACGTTCCGTAATGCCATCGAGAAAAATGACTAAATAGCGTGATTGTGAAGTGGGTACAAAACAAGTCAATTGACAGATAGATATAAAGAAGATCGGGGGTGCTACAGGCGGCGAGCCAATAACCCTCCAAGATACAGACTTGCAGTCCTCGCCCGAACTGAAGTAGAACCAAATTATCCCCAAGAAACTCGTGCATCGGTGGAAAAGCGGTTAGGACGCTCGCCGACCATGCATATGGCCGCGGTTCGATCCCCGGCCGACGAAGCACTGCTTTACCTCGATAAGCCAGAAAAATGCTGGTAAAGAGGAGGGGTTGGGCGTGAGGCTAGCAACCCCATCCTGTAAAATTAAACACTGCTATAGAAACTTCAAGCCATTAGCTTGAAGCCCTATGTTCCACTAGGAACGTGAAGAAAAAAACTCGACCAAATCTAAAATAATCAAATGGCTCCAAATAGAATTATGTTGACGACAGAATGTTAGAGAACTGCAAGATTGTTGTTCTGCTGATATAAGTATAAAACTTGGGCAATGTGGTAGAGTATAACTCCAAACTGATTAAGCAGCAGAATGAGACCCATGAGTCTCCCAATAACACCATCTAATGGTGTCCCGTCTAACCGCCCACGTGTTCTTATTATTCATTTTGGACCGCGTTCTCAAGTTGTATGTACCCAAGGCATACTGTGATCTCCATTGTTGAGAGAGTCGTGGGTCTCACTCTGCTGCTTGTATAAGAAGGAAGTGAAATTAAGTAGAGACCAAGTTGAATACATTCCAAAGACATACTGCAATAAGTTAGGGAAGTTGATGAAAAAGTACTATTCCACTGAGGATGTATCACTACTGCACTGAATCCACGAGTCACTTGAATCTATCAAGCGCCTACACTCTCGAAAGGACCCCGACGAATAGTTAAGCGCACTTAAAAGTACCTCCAAAGTTCATAACTTAACAACACCTCTTAAAGATGAATGCGGTGGACGAGGGAAATCTCCCACTTACTTCACGACAAAATAAGCCACAATGAGCCTGCCACCATCTGTGAAGTATTCAGTGGGTGGTTTCCGAACTTCAGTTTAGAAATGTCAATGCCCATTGAAACCGTCCCAATTACTAGCCCTTTCCTCGGAAGCATAGTGTTCACCAATCAATTAATAGAACAAGCAGTTAAAAGCCTTAGACCTTCCACTAGTGCGGGACCGGACAGCCTTGCTTCAATAATTTTCAAAAACAGTGGGTGTGATATTCCCCTATTACTTCTCAATATCTATAGACACTGGCACTTGCTCTAATGAGTGGAAAACTACCTTCATAATTACACACCACAAATCTGGTGACAAAGCAAAAGTTTGCAATTACAGACCCATAAGTATAACCCCAGTTATCTCGCGAATCATGGAGAAAGTTGTCAAAGATCAATTATCAGACTATCTACTTAGTAAAGATCTTGTTACCAGGTCTCAACACGGATTTCTCAAAAATAGGTCCTGTGTTACTTGCCATTTCGACTTTTCCAAATGGATCACTAGTAGTCGCGAAGAACGTAAGCTAGTCGCTGTTCTCTACTTTGAAATATCTAGGGAATTTGACATGGTATCTCTTTGAGAAGCTGCACCAATGTAGGATCCGCAATCCATAACTGAACTGGCTAAAACTATTTCTAAGCAAC